TTAGGGTTAGGGTTAGGGTTAGGGTTAGGGTTAGGGTTAGCGTGAAAATCGTTAGGGTTAGGGTTAGGGTTAGCGTTTTTAGAGTTAAGGTTAGGGTTAGGGTTAGGATTAACCCTAACCCTAACCTTAACTCTAAAAACGCTAACCCTAACCCTAACGATTTTCACGCTAACCCTAACCCTAACCCTAACCCTAACCCTAACCCTAACCCTAACAATTTTTCATTTCATTTTTTTATTTTTTACTTTTTATTTTTTATACCAAAACAATTTTATTTTTTTAACACCAAAACAATTTTATTTTTTGTTTCTTTAAAGGGGGTACTTTTGATCCGACCCTTAAGAGACTAGTTAAGAATCTTGGATATATACTAAGTGTTTTCATAGAGAAACTCTAGAATGTCTCACTTTAGAAGTCAAAGTTTCGTCTCATAATTTCATCCTCCATGGACCCCCTCCTCCTCCCCATGCAGATGACTCTCTTCTCTATCTTTCAAACACATTTGTCCATGTGGGATGTACAATGTTTGTACAAAAGTACCATTTTACGTCATTTGCCACCATTCAATAATCTGTATTTTGTCCTTTATGGCACTCTCTGTAAGGGACGAGACATCGTGGAAGACCCATGTAGAGGCACTCCGTGAGTCAACCATCTCCATCAGATCCTTGTAAAACCAGGATATCCAGCAAGGAAGGATCTGAAAATCGATGCCTTGGAAAAGTGAAGTGGAAAATCCACATAGGATCCTCCGCGTCCACATCCAACCTCCCCATCCCGAAAAACTAAACTACCTAGGTAATACCAGCACCGTGGTCCATGTGGGATGATCGTTTCTTAAACTTATTCATGACGACAGAGCGGAGGAAATCACAATCGTGAATGTGGTTGCATAGAAGATCATAATTAAGAGGTTAAATACGGTCACTCTTATCTTCCGTCTTCTCTAACATGTATCAATAAATTGACTAACTACAATACAAACCCGATGGAATAGAACATTGAGTGCTTTCTTCTCGCTATTTGGATATATCGGAAGCAACACTCAACGTTTTTTGCTCGAGCATCGCTCTGACGAGCGTTTTATTGTACAAACGCATAAAATTATCTGCAACTCAAGACGAATCCCAAGGGACCATAATTGCCTAGTCCAACAGGAATTATTCATGTTGAGCGAGTTTCAATAACAAATTATCATGCATAAGGGCTGGGTTTATAGATGAACATTTACAATAACCAGAGCAGTAGGATATAAAGAATTTGAAGGACACACCCGTGTCGTAGGAAAAAAGGTCATTCAATATGTAATATTAATGCTCCAGTTTAGAGTTTCTCTTTGCTCAGCCTTAGTTTGGGCCGCACGTTTTGAATATTCAACCAAAACCCGTTTCATTTTAATCAACTCGTATTGTTCCATAGTACGCATATTCTTTACTGTACAATGGACCGTAATAAAAGAAAAGAACACATTTGTACACAATAAGACTGAGCAAAGGCGAACTCGAAATGGATATTGGATGTTATTGTTGTTTTATTTGTTTTTCTTGAAAGAGCATCAACAATTGAATCACATGACCAATCATTTGCGCAAATGAATCTGCAACTTATTTTCACACCATATGTGGCGTAAATTAGCCCTTACAATAAGGTGTCATTACGGACCATAAGGACCATTAAATACCGCTCAAGTCCCATCAGCTCATGTCCTGACGAAACCATTACAAACAAGTAAGGTTCTCTTCTCAGTCTATGATGACTAGAGCCAACAACAGTACAAACCCTCATTCTAAATGCCGCTTCATCTCGATGTTAAACAGCATACTGACGAGGTCAATAAAGTCCTCTTCTCAGTCCGTTTACACCAAAAATGATTCAGCGATGAGGTACCACAATCCCTGTCCTGTGAGGACTCGTGCAATGGAGTGGTAATGACGAAACAGGCTTCAGAAACCAAGGCTATTTCTCAGGAAGCGTTAATACTTGTGGGATAAACTTCTACCTGTATACTGAACTGCGCATGTGTCATATACTTGTACTAAACTGCGCATGTGTTATATACTTGTACTAAACTGCGCATGTGTCATATACTTGTACTAAAC